CTGTGGAAATCAGTTTGGAGATTCCTCAGAAAACTAGCTCTAGAGGTCCCATTCAACCCAGCTATTCCTCTTCTGGGTATTTTCCCAGATCTGAAAACATTGTATCACAGCGATATATGTGTACCCATTTTATAGCAGCACAATTTGTAATCGCTAAATTGTGGAAGCAACCCAAATGTCCATCCACTGAATGGATAAAAAAATTGTAGTATTTTTATATAATAGATTATTACTCAGCTATAAAGAAAACTCAAGGCTTTTACAGGTAAATGGTCACAACTTGAGACCATGCTCATAAGTGAAATAAACCAGACCTCCATATGTAAGCAATGTATTGTCTCACTAGTGTAAGAACCTGAAAGAGTGAATAAAAATTAGGAGGTATGAGACATTGTGAAATGAAAGGAAAATGCTCAAAAGTAAAGAGCAACTGGGGTGAGGGAAAAGAGAAAAGAAAAGAAGGGGAAATTATGTATGCATATACAGGATAGCTAACATAGTACTACTGACTTCTATCACTTTACTGAAAGAACAGTTAATAATTATTTGATCAATTTTGCATGTCTCTATTTGTTTTCCTGAGACCACTTTGAAGATATCAATACATAACACAACAACCACTGTTAATTTCCTACCACTCTGTAACTTTGTATTGCTTGTATTGTTCTTATGCTATTTTGTAAATGGATGTTTATTAATGTTTTCCTTTTTTTATTTTTAAAATAAATTTTTAAAAAAGAAGCAAAAACAGTAACTTTAGCAACTATGAAAAAAAATGCTAAGTTTTAATTCTCCCGTTGTAAGGTAGTAATCCTAATTCTAATTAGGAAAAACAAATGCTAAGTTTTAATTCTCCCGTTGTAAGGTAGTAATAGGTAATATATAACATGGCTGGGACAAAGATGTTAAAACAAGAGCCCAAGTATGAAATAGAATGATCACAAAACGCTGGCAATTTCATCACTGAAATATACAATTGCACATTTTACAGTAAAATAGGGTTTTCATGTGATTCAGCATGTAGTGAATAACATTTTAAAGGGAGAAAAGGTTAATTAAGCTAAACGAAGATACTGAGATGACTTCAATCAAATCTCACTGGCATTAAAAGTTTTTATTTGGAATTTGATCCACAATCTATACAAGTTATTTACAAGGCATGAAAATGGAAAACAACACAAAATACAGTTGAGGTATAAGCTAAGGGCACAGTATGTCATGTTTCAATAAATTCAAATTCGTAAACTAAGTGACCAGATAGATGAGTCTTATTTTTTAGTAAAACCATATAAAATATTTATTCACGTGAGGTAGGACAGTTTTGTATGTCATGTAATGCAACCAACCACAGCAATTTTAATCATAAAACTGTACATCATTTGCAAAATTATAAATCAAATTATGGTCAATATAATCAATTTGTTTCAACAGTTACAGAACAAGTTAATTCAATGACTGCCTTCACAGGTTAGAAATTCAGAAATAACTTAAGACTGCTATGTTGGCTTAAAATTATCAGGATAAACAAGTACTTTTAACAGAATAGTTAAAAGCCAAGTATGTTTTATTTCTCACAAACTCGAATTTCTCAAAAGATATTCTAGATTTCACAACTGTTTTAGTAGGATGTTTCTACTAGAACTAATTTCAGTATGCTGTGCTTTATTTTCAAGTGAGGTATCTATTGGAGAAAAAAATCTTATAAATTTCTCTTACATTAAACTAACTTTAAACACTACTTTCTTTTCTGGGCTTAATTTTTAAGTTTGTTTTTACAATTGATCACCTCCAAATTAAAAAATAGCACTACATAAGACGTTTAATTCTATTTCTAAACAAGCTACAAATTGCATTCTAGTTTAGAAGCCATTTAAGTGGAAACATTAAAAAGAAAAAAAGACTGTCCTTTAGACAAAATGCAATATAAAATAACCATATGCTTTTCTTCCAATAGTGGAAATGCTTAATATCCTACACTAGAAAAATTTTTAAACTGTTTAAATTATTCAATTCCACAACATATAATATAGCAGTTATATGTTCTTTATTGCTGCCAGCATCAATAAAAACTATTAACAAGTAGTTCCAAGCACAGGAATAAATGTACAGTATGAGCACAATTTTCCATTATATTAATTTTTAATGTCATGTGGATTAAACGCATAATGGGAAAATAAACAAATGAGTATTCTTTCCTAAATAATCAAAACATATATCATTGAGAAGAAAACTTCAGAAGCTGATCAAAAACCTTCAGTGCTAACTCTGCCATTAATTCTAGGGAAATGCCTTCAGCATGTTTTACATTAGAGTTGCCCTTTCATTTTATTTTCCTTCAAATAGAAACCACAGATGTGCAAAAGAACTGTCTGTGACTTCTAAAAGATATGAGTAACCTGCAAATATCCTAGCACTTGATTTCACCTACTTTAATAACTGCTTTATAATTCAATATTTACAAGTGATTTTATATCTAACCTGGTAATATATTAAATATGTTATAAAATTAGTTCAAGAAGCATAAAACATCCTAATTCTCCCAGACACAGAAATGCAGGCAAAAAAACACATTTCACAAAAATTAAAGCACAAGCCAAACTTAAGTTATTGGCAAAATCTTCTCATAGCATTAAAGGCTGCATTTGTAAAATTTGTGTGGTTTAAGAGTTTCCTCAATGACAGCAGGTTTTATATTGACTGACTTTAAAGATTTGGTTTATTTTTCTCATAAAGTTTAAACTATAGAAAATGTGACCACCCACCCAATTTAACATCACTCATCACCTAGTAAGCTAATGTTCTTTCTTCTTTCTAAAGATGCTCTAGCAAAACTCTTTAGGGGCTGTTCCTTTAGTGCAGCTTTGTAGAGTAAACGTTTTTATCTTTCCCAAAAGAATATTATGACGTCTGAGGAAAAAGCTGCTTGCCTAATGAACTTGGCACACAAAACTAACACCAAAACAAACTTTAAGTTAGCAACCAGCACACAAAATGAGCATGCAAGAAATAGAAGAATAAGTTCTATATGGGTAAGATTTTTAGCAGAGGTCACTTTTTAAGTATTACAAAATCTCTATATTGTTTTCAAGCTATGTGGTACAATTTATCTTAGTTACTTTTAACAGTAATATTTACAACTGACTAAAAAACTATTCTCAAGGAAGTTAGAAACCTATGGCACATCCATGTTTCTTCTGGAAAATGAAGACTATACAATGTCATGTGGCAAGTTTGCATTATGTAAAGATTAGAAAAAAATTTCTTTACTCAATTCTAAATCAAGAGTTTATAAATAATTTAATGGTGTTTAAGGACCTGTTAAGAATTCTAAAATAAAATATCTCAAAGATAAGCAATTTATTTTAGACATTTTGGGTTGAAACCTAGGTAAGCTTACCATTTACTAAATAAAATCAGCAAAAAGCTTTTGAGTAAATTAGAAAAATAAATGAAATTAAAGTTGATTGAGTTTGTCTCCCCAAAAAGGTGACTTGTGACATAATTACCTTACAACCAAATAAAGCTGTATCATAAAGGTCTGTGATTTTTCTTTGCCCAAATCTAAATAAATGGCACTGGGAGAATATGTCATTTTAAACATTTACTTTTATGCATTATTTTAACATTTGTTCATCCTTGAAGAGACTCCAAGAATCAACAAATCATATTACAGGGTTAATAAAATTTAAATACAAAATACACATTAGAATACACTATATTTAAAGAAACTGGGAAGTATAAAAGTTCTTTTTGGATATGTGAGTACCATTAAACAAAATATGAAAACAGCTACTTACACGATAACCTAAGAGAGTTTTGAAGTTCTGTATCATTAAAGTATCTTCTATGCTGCAAACAGTATAAAACTGACAAATTTTAAAAAATAAAATAGGGGTGGGGATACAGCTCAGCGGCACAAGCACCTGCCTAGCAAGCGCAAGGTCCGGAGTTCAATTTCCAGCACTCAAAAAAAAAAAAAAAAAAAGAACTTAAAAAAGAAAAATAGCTTGAGTAATGTCATATAGTACCTTACGAGAGAACATGAAAAAGAAAATTCATAGAATAATGTCCATGGTAGTTTCAGAAAACTTTCTTTAAAAAGATGCACAATGAGAACTTTACCTTTAAGCTAAGAATCAGCTAATGTGAAATTTTCTATTTAAAATGACTTTTCTGTGCAAAAAAAAAAAAAAGTGCAGATGTTGCCATTCCCCAAACTGTGGAATTCTTTTGCCATCTAAAAATGATCTAAAAACCTTGAGAAGCAAATAATTAAACTGTCCTGTATTAAACTATCAAACTCTATTATTGACTGTAAACTCCTGATTTTGATATTAAAGTGTAACTGAAAATGGTCCATTTGTGCAAATTTTGGTAAGATAACATTTAAACATACAAAAGTCCAAAATAACCTTTCAAGCTGTTTAATACTTTATAATTTAAAGGGAAACAAATTCATTATATAAATTTCATTAAGACCCATAACTACATATAAAAACTGTACAGGAAGATTATGAATCATATAGAAACTAATGTACATCAATGGAATCAGTTTTTCTCAAGAACATTAATATTTTCACACCACTATTAATACCATTAACAGAAGTTTAGAAATTAATTTTCTGAATTTACTGCAAAAAATTCTAAATACAACCACATTTAAACTAAAAGACAAAATACAACTGCTTTTTGTGTTTAACAGCAATGAACAACAAACAAAGCATGTCATACTTCCTCTCTGTGTCCATGGGGTATGCTATAACTTCATTAATGAAATCTCTCTCAGGAGACATTAAAAGGAAAAAACTGGTGGGAATTCATTCCACAGTTTGGGCAAAGTAATAGACAATTTTGTGTATAATAATGAGTATACTATATCAACTTAAAAGTAGATTGTGTTAAGAAAAATGAAAATTCAACTCCTTGGGTAGCGCTGTATTACATATTTGAATTCTGTTGCCACCACTGGATCTAAAACTGAATCTGAAATATGGGTAACAAAATTGACCACGGCTATTATCCATCACATAATGCAGCTTTTAAAAGGTATACAATTATTAAATTTGCATTACAAATATAGGTAATTGTCTACTAGTTGAAACCATACACTATTGTTACCAAGCTGACCGGGGGTTAAATGTACAAAGAAACATAGGTTTTCATTCATTTGAAAAATGTAAAAATTTATGTACTAATATATAATCTCTTCACTTTCTCTGATCTACAAATGGACAGAATGTGTAGTTATCCTCATGCAAATAAAATATTCAGGATTCAGTTATCAAAGCAAGCAACAAACAATAAAACCCTGTAATACACGGATGAATCTCTTTTAACAGTTTCTACTCTTTAGCAGTCTTTGATGATTTCAAAATTTGCAGCTTTAGCTCTTTTATCATCATCTCTAACTTCTGTCTTGCCTCCCGTTCCTGTCTGAGTTCATCTTGGAGTTCTTGTCTATCCGCCTCAGCATGATCCAACCTCTGTCTCAGTTCTGCCAACTGTGTGATTTAAAAGGTTATGTCAGTTTTCATTCAATTTTCTTTTCCCATTTAATTCTATCTGGGCAAAACCTACTTTAAAATTACTTTTTCACAAAATGACCTATTTCATGTATATACAATCCCTTGAATGTCTGCTACTTTTTACTTGACATTTTAACGTAACATCAAATTAAGGACACTGCAAAGGATCAAGAGAAATGAACACTTTCGCAATACCTGTCACAGCCTGTCGTCTGCTCATATTAGTTATTTGTTCACCTCTGAATAGTGAGCTACTACTAACAAAAATTGCTGATTTTGCCTCTGGTACTTCTCAATATTGTGCACAATAGCTCGTCTGTTAATCTTGGGGCTTAAAAGCCTATACATTAAATTAAAATAATGTCAAAATTTGTATTTTAAAAAAGTACTCATTTATTTTCGTGGAATGGGAAATCAAGTGCAGGACCTCAGGTATGCTGAGCAAGTACTCTACCAGCAAGCTACATTCCTAGCCCAAAATAATATAAATTCTTTGCAAAAAGCTAGTGATAAGCAATTTAAGTAATTAAATTATAGAAACCCAATAAAAGTTTAAAGTAACAAAGGTCAAAAAAATCATCATGGATGATACAGCAAAGATTTATGCTTAACATAATTATCTATTTTCAAATGTAGCCTAATAAAATAAGCTTGGCAAATCTTAATTTCTTTAAAAAAGAAGTAACAATTTCCATTTCCATGATGAAAGGGCATTATACAAACTGAGTAATTCTTACCTGTGCTGCATATTCAGCCTCTTTGTCTTTTTCTAAATTTGAGTCACAGGTACATTTCTGCTTCATTACCTGCTCCAATTTTTTCTCTAAGTCTTTCTGTTCAACATAAAATTCTTCCATTCTTTGAGCATGTTCATTCTGCAAACATTCCAGCTCCTTCTGCAAATTCTGTTGTTCTTCAGTGAGTTCCTTCATAGCTTTTGAACTACTCAACATTTCCACTTCCTGTAACATTAAAAAAAAAAAAACAATCACAATACAATTTTTACATTACTCTGAATAATCTGAAGTACATTTTCTGCTTGTCATCTTTTCTTACTCAGAAAATGGTAAAGTTTCTTTTTATAATGTACTACTGTTTAGATAAAAACTTTACCATCTGCAGTTGTTGCTTCTTTTGCAAAATTGAGTTCAGCTTTTCTTGTTGTTTTACGTAAGTTCTCATTACTTCTTCCATGATCTTTCCCTTATCATCCTCACAAGTAACATCTTTGACAAGAAGTGGGGATGAAGGTACAGCATCATGCTTGCTTGTGTCTCTTATTAAGTCACAGGTGGCAGAATCAGATTTCTTTTTACTTGTAGAATTACTTGAGAATGATGTATCTTTGAGGGAAAAAAAGTAGCAGAGTATGAATATAACTCTTAAAAAGTCACTAGACTAACTCATAAACAAAATTAAGAAAACAATTCCATTTACAGATCAAATACAAAATGTTTAGAAATAAATTTAACAAGGTAGTAGATGTATACAATGACAACTACAAAACATTGCTGAAAGAAATAAAAAATCTGAGTACATGGAAAGATTTCCCATATTCATAGATTGAAGCCTTGATAATAAGACAAGCAATATTCCCTATTTGACCAACTTATTCAGTGCAACTTCTATCAAAATTCCAACTCATTTTTGCAAAATTAACAAGTATATTCTAAGATTCATATGGAAATACAAGGAATCCAAAATAACAAAAGAAAACTTACTACAAAGCAATAAATCAATGGAAAAGAATTTTTAGTCCAGAAATATGTAAACCCATACTTTTACAGCCAATTGTTTTTTGACATGGAAGGAAAGATAATGCAATCAGGAAAGAATAATCTTTTTAACAAATGCAAAAGACTGGACTTCATATCTTATAAAAATAAGCTCAAAAGGGATAAAAAACCTAAATGTAAGAGCTAAAATTCTTAAATATAAATGTTCCTGATCTTGGATTACACAACATATCTGAAGCTAGTAATCAAAGAAAATAGCTGGACTTCACAAAAATTGAAAATTTGTATGCTTCAATGGTCACTAAGAAGAAATTAAGTAAACAACTGACAATGGTATATTATATACATGATAACATAGAGTATCCAGAATATTAACTTACAACTCAAGAGTAAAGAGATAACCCAATTTAAAACAGACAAAGATCTGAAGAGTTTTCTCCAAAGAAAACATGCAATACCCAGTAAAACATAAAAAGATATTCAATATCATCAGTCATTAGGGAGTAACAAATCAAAAACACAATGATAGCACTTCCCAATTACTACAATAGCTATATTCAAAAGACACACAATAGCAAGTATTAACAAAAATGTACACAAACTGAAACCCTCCTAAACTACTAGAGGGAATATAAAATGATACAGCTGCTTTGGAAAACAGTTTACTAGTCTCTCAAATTGTCAACATACTACCATATGACCCAGCAACTACACTCCTGAATATATAGTCAAACGAACTAGAAACATATGCTCACTCTAAAATTTATACACAAGTGTTTATAGTAGCATAATTATTCCTAGCAGCCAAAATGTGGGCACAGTACAAATATCCAGCAACGGATGAACAGATAAAGAAAATAAGACATATCCACACAATGAAATATTAAGCTATAAAAAAGAAAAATACTGATATAAGAACATGGACTGAGAAAATATTAGGCTTAGTGAAAGAAACAAGACACAGAAGTCACATATAACTCTTTATATTAAATGTCCAAAACAGGCAAATGCAAAGAGACAAAAAATAGGTTAGTGATTGCCAGAGGTGAGGGGAAAATAAGAAAGATGAGTGGCTGCCAAAAGGATGATGAGATTTCTTTATGGAGTGATGAAAATGTTCTGAAATTAAAAAGTTGTGATGGCTACACAACTTTGTGATTCTACTAATAACCACTGAATTGTACACTTTAAAAGGATAAAGTGAATTTATCCCTTTAAAGTAAATTTATCCCTTTAAAGGGATATGTGAATTTTATCAACTATTTTTTTAAAACTCACTAGAATTAATTTCGGAAATAAAATATAATGCACATATGACATAATAGTATATTACTATTGCTTACCACATTTAAATATAAACGAACCTGAATTTAAGAATCTCTAAAATATAGAAAACACTGAAGAGTCTCAATATCTACAAAAACAGTTCAACTAGAAGATTTTCCAACTGTTCCAGGACAGCTAAAATAACTGTCACACTGCCTAAGCACCAAATAAAGCTAGGCTTCTACACGGTCTACAACATAGACCATGTGTCTGAGTATACTGTACCTGTCCCATTTGGTCAGTATTTCTTTTAAAGGCATAGTAGACAGGCAGCTTTCTTTCTTTCAAATGATAAGTCAGCATTCTTCATTTATGCCATCTGTTTGGCTCCCAGAGCTTTTAATCACTGCTTTATTCCATGACTTACATTTCCCCAACTTTTACACCTGACTACTCCTCCTTATGTATACTTATTAATGTTAGTTACATGGTTTTTTCACCTCACAGAAAATTAAAAAATAGGGACCTAAGTGAAGAAATATCACAGCAGCAAAAGATAGGGAGGAAAAAATACAAATAAAAAATCAACAACAACAAAAAAAAAGAAAATCAAAAATCATTTGCAATGTAAAGCCATGTTAAAAAAAAGTGTGTACATATATATATAATATATACAAAGATACATAAATTTCAGTTATTACCATTCTAGAAAAGTATAGCAATTAAAGTTCAAAGAAAGGAATCATCCAGTTTTGAAAAGTGACATTTTTAAGGTAGAAGCTTAAATTATGTAAAAAATTAGCTTAAATTTAAAAAGCTCATTCAAAATAATAAATGAATGTGTTAATATCTGATTTTTAAAATGTAATTCCAGATACTTACCTAAACGGCTGTATAACTCTTTACTTGTTTTTAAATCCATTTTCTCTTGTTCTTCAAGTGAGACATCTGGATAAGACACTGTTTTTTGATATTTACTGCTACTATGAGGCTTCTCTGACTGTCTTAATACAGATTTACTTGCCTCTGTCTTTGTGACCTCTTTAGAATGGGATACAGCAGAAGTAAGTGACACATTTGGGGCAACTACTTTATCACACATGTATAAGTAATAGCTGAAAACAAAGAAAGGCAAAGGAAGACACATATTACATATTATTTTAGGTAAAAATCAAAATATGTGACATATTTCCACAGTTGAACTCAGTTTTTGTAACCAAACAGACAACACAACAACTCAGAAATAAGGTTCACAGAAAAGATTTCTTAGAAAAATCAGTACTTTAAGCATTAAGAGCAAAATTATGAGGAACTTTTGTTATTTTGCAAGTAATTTCTAAGCACTAAAAAGATACTGTGAAAACGGATCAGCACGGGAGTTTTGAGCTGCTCGGTTTCCGACCAGGGCCGGTTCACCCCTCCTTAGGCAACCTGGTGGATCCCCGCTCCCAGGAGGCCACCATATTGATGCCAAACTTAGCGAGGACACCTGATCAGCATAGCGTACTGCAGCCCAGAACTTCTGGACTCAAGGGAGCCTCCCACCTCAGCCTCCCAAGTAGTTGGGACCACAGGTACACGCCATCATGCCGGTGACACTGTGAAAAGTCTCTTCTTCCCTCAAAACCACCAGGGGTGGGGAACATGAAGCACTTAGTAAAACCCTTTAATAGCTCTGAGCAGGTAAGGTTATTCCAGAGAGAAAAGGAGCCATATGTTACTTTGCAGGACTGTTTTTAATCCTCCAAAACAAGGAATGCTTGCTCTTTGCTAGGTGAGGCTGCTTTAGTCAACCACTGCATGGCTCTGGGCTGATTCACAACAGGTCAATGAGGAGCTCCTAGGGCCTTCTTAAATAACTCGCAGAAAGAACAGTCTCTGAACACAGCCCAGATACCAGGCAGTGCTTCTTGTATCAAACTCCGCAGAGCAATCTTACCACAGTATAATACTTTAGAACTTTCTACTATTCAATAAAACAGCAACAACAAATTGCACAAAATTAAGATTGAAAGGATAACTACCAATTTTGCTCATAGTGAACATAAGACTGTTCAGTAGATTATCGGCAAGGCTCAGAACAAATCTGAGCTAGATATTTAAGTAATGTTGTTTATCTAAGTCATCTTTAGTGAAAAGATACAACCAGTTATCACTTCATCCCCTAAACATCAGATCATCGATTTCCTACTATCTTGTTTTCTTTGCATAGGACATCTATGTTGCTCCTCTATCAAAATCATGAACTCTGGATCTGAAAACAGTATTCTGCTTTAAAAAAAAAAAAAAAAAAAAAAAACCTGACTGGTTTAATAATGCCCAAAAGACTTATTTGAGCCAGGCATAGTGGTACACGCCTGTAATCCCAGCACTCGGAAAGCTGAGGCAGGAGGATCGTTGCAAGTTCAAGACCAGCCTGGGCTACAAAGTGAGCTCAAGAGCCTGAACTGCACAGTGAGACCCTGTCTCAAAAAAAAAAAAAAAAAAAAAAAAAAAGAGACATTTCAAAATATAACACATAGAAAAATGATTTTTGTACAGTTGTAAATAATACTCAAGATTGTTCATCACCATGACTGAAGAAGCTTACAGATTTTATAACAGCAGATAAAGATCTAAACAAATAGTATGCTTTTATTGAAAATATGAAAACTTGCTTTTGAGAAGTGTGGTTATTAAAAAACCTCAAAGTTCCAAAAGAATTTTTTTTAAACTACCAAAGTTACAAGCCAAACTCTTGAAGAACTGGTTTACCTTTTGAACAGAAAAAAGGAAAACTTTCATTTTTTACTTCTGGGTAGAAAAGGCAATGAATTACTTCCAGAAAAACCACAGAAATACCAAGTAAAGGTTATGTCAAATATTGAACACAATTTATACTTCATTTCATTTTAGATTCTTCAAATTTTTCTAATGAGTTAATTAGGCAATATACAATCCCCCCACAATTTCCACATGACGACAAATACAAGCAAAAAGGTACTAAATCCCAAAGTTACTGTTTTAAAAGTTTCAATTTTAAAAGGTAATATACTTAAAAGGCAGAAAATTAAATAATAAAATTCCCAGCACCTAAAACAGTATTTAGCAGATACCTGATAAATGAATGAGTGAATGAATGAATGAATGAACAAACAAATCAGTAATGCTTACCTGGGGTGTAAAAATGAATGTGTCTGAGAAACATGTTCACCCTCCTGCTTTATTACTGGATACCATGACTGCAATTCCAGTTCTGATGGAGTATCAGTCTATAAAAAAGGTAGAAGGTAAAGTTTATCAAAGCAGAAAATGCGACAGATTTGTCTGTCTGTGGGTATGTTCTGGCAGTGATAGAGATCAAATGCAGGGCCTCATGAAAGCCAGGTAAATGCTCTACCACTGAGCTACACCCTCAGTCTGGATGTTTAATTTTGTCAGGGCTGGGTAGGACCACTGGATAAAAAAGTTACTTTTTTTTAGGTGCTGGAAATCAAATTCAGGACCTTGCACTTGCCAGGCAGGCACTTGTGCTACTGAGCTAGATCCCCAGCCCCAAAAGTTATGTTTTTAAGAGCCATCTTCTAGTACAGCAGTCTTCTTAAATTACCATATCAAGCCACTTGAAACTCAGAAGACTGCTACATGAATTATCCCCTCACAGGAAGTTTCAGTATGTATGTTATCATGATTATCAGAAATTACTTCATCAAGTTTCATACTTACAGAATCATACTCTGCAAACGTACAACAGTGGGAACCTGAGTCTTATTTTTGCTCATATAATGAACTAGACTATATTCTTACTGGTAGAATATTAACTGCATAATATTCTAGCAATAGTACTTTGGGAAGCTAAACCCAAAACTACTGTTAACACATATCAGTAAACAATTACTTCCTCGTAAGTGTGAAAAGTTCTGTCTGGCTGCGACTTTTAGTGCTGAAGGATGAGCTACACCAGTAAATAAAAGCTGGTAATTTAGTGAGGATGTGTCTACTAAAAATTTTATGTATCTTGCTTAATCTAACAAATACCTCCCCAGTGAGCAGGTTATCAATTACCTTCATTTTACAGATTTTAAAAAAACCAAATGAGATTCAGAAATTAAAAGTGAATAGAGTTAACCCACTTGTCCCTTATTTTGGTCTGCTTTACAGTCTGTTCTATGCTCTTTTCCACCCCTCATTTTTTACACTATAATAACGACCTTGCTCTTTTGGGAAAAGAATACATTTAAAAGGGCAAGACTCACTAGTACACGAGCAAAGGAGAAACTGAAAGATGGCACGGTTATAGTAAAGAACAAAGATTGAAGGGTAACAAACAAATCCACTACAGTAAGCGAACAGGATTAGGAATGCACTAGGTAAAGTCCAAATGAACAGCTGGGTATTTTTTGGAACCCTTCCTCTGAAGAGGCTCCAATATTTCTCTGAGAGGCTCCAATCCCATCTGCAACTAGGCAAGATGTGTGCAAAATGACAACTTCATTCAACAATAAGCAGGAGCTAAGAATATAGCTCAGTGGTTGAGTACTTGCCTAGCAAGAGTGAGGCTCTGCGCTCAATCCCCAGCACCACAAAAAAAAAAATAAATAAACCTGTGATAGCCACTAAATACTAAGAACAGGAGTGCTGTTTTGCCAGATGTCTGGGTTCTACTGAGAACCCAAAGACAAGATAAGAGAAAAGGAAGAATGTTAAATAGTTACGATGAAAGCATAAGGAACAACCTGCTAACAGAGGACCAAAGTGGGCGAAGAAACCAGTGTACCTGGGGACCAAGGAGCACAGTGCTTCAACGAAACAGGCTGAAAACGAAAAGGAAGCAGCTCTGGAACACACATCACACAATTTGATCCATCGGGAGATGAAAAAGCCAGGAAAAAGCCAAAGTCAAAAACAGGTAACTTGTATGGATGGGACACAGACATTTTTGTAAAGAATTACTAGGCAAAGATTTGAAAGGCTAATAACAAAATTACAGGGAAAGTATTTTAAAAGGATTTAAGAGGTGAGTGTTCAGTGAGGGCCCATTCACTATATGAGTAGGTGTTTTTTTGTTCTTGTTTTCTGTTTTTGTTGTTATTGTTGTTTTGAGACAGGGTCTCGCTCTGTAGTACAGATTGGCCTTGAACTCAAGGAGATGCTCATCTTCCTGAGTGCTGCGATTACAAGTGTGCTCCACCAAGCCTGGCCTAAAGTTTTTTTTGTTTTTTGTTTTTTTCACTCACTCACATTCCTGATCAAATATTCTAAAACTTCAAATATTCATCGTAATTCTAATACAATATTCAGAACCTGGGCACATTTAACTGCTTATTTACAAAAGTTATCAATTACTTGTTTATATAGTTTCTCAGCCTAACATCTTAGTTCTAGCAGTAAATGAGTAAAGGAACTGACTTCTAGCAACAAATAGTAAATGATAAATTCTCTCTGACAGTTGCAGGCTAAGGAGACTATAAAAACAGGAACATAAAAACTGCATCAAAAAGCAAGGCAATTTGAGAGCCTTGACATAGGCCAGGATAAGTAATTTAATATTATCTCAAAGGTCCCATTCTCTATCCAAGAGTACAGAATAGTAACTGGTGTTGAAGAAGTCATCAGTCAACATGACATAAATTATGTTATGCACACCACTTAAGCTCAAAATTTTCTGAAATATTTTAAAATTCATTAAAAAATATTTAAGTATTAAAAAGCACAGTGCTTGCTGAGGATATAGCTCAGTGGCACGGCACCTGCCTGGTAAGCACAAGGTCATGAGTTCAATTCCCTGTACAAAAAAAAAAAAAAAAAAAATCACAGTGCTTACAAAATAGTGGCTTAATGGGCAAAATATTTGAAAATCCAACGCTGTGTGATAAGAGGTATTAATTAGCATGGAGAAGATAATCTAATAAATCAAATGAAATCTAAAGTAATTTTTAATTAAACAAGAATGTGTTTTCTACAATTCACCAGTTAAACTCATTTTTTTAACTTTTTTTTTTTTTTCTTTTTTTTTGGTCTTTTTGAGACAGGGTCTCACTATGCAGTTCAGGTTAACCTTGAGCTCACTTTGAGGCCCAGGCTGGTCTTGAACTCGCAATGATCCTCCTGCCTCAGCCTTCCGAGTGCTAGGATTACAGGAGTGTACCACCACACCTGGCCACATTAAACTTACTTAACAATTCTAGATGTACTTACTATCTAGTAAGTTGTTCCTTCATTTTTTATTAAAATCATTAAAACTGACTTATACATTTAAAATTTTTTTCCTACTATGAATACTGGAATAGCAAGCAAATTCTGAAGTTTTTCAAAGATCATGACTTGAAATCTGAAAAATTTTAATTGTCAAGTTCAAAACTCATTTGATTTTTTGACTTTTACTTTTCTTCACAGTCCAAACCTACTGTCTCTTTATTTCTATGATGTCTCTAAACTTGAAACACCATCTTAAATAACTGCTAGTATATTTTTAAACATTCATCTCTCTTAATTGCTGTTTATTTTACTTCCTGATCTCCCACCAATCCACTAACAGAATCACAAACCAAGGGGTCCTAAGGAAACCTCCCTTTAGGATTATCTAATGTCTTAATTTCCTACTCCTCAAGGCTTATTCCTTCGCCAGTAAGTACCTCTCTAGCCTCCACTGCAACAGCAGATGGAAGTCACAAACATTATTACTTTTGTATTTTTAGTACCTAGCACCAAGCCTATCACACACTAGGAACTCAGTATTTGTTCAGTAAATTTTGAATGCCAGTGTAGCTCATTAATTCCCAGGGAAGCCTTCTGTAAGGTTGTGAGCGAGGGTCTTAAGGTGCAGCTCAGTGGTACAGCACCTGCCCAGCATGCTCATGTCCCTGGGTTTAATCCCCAGAACCAACAAAGGAATGGGTTACTTGGTACCATGAAATTTAAAATGATCTTTTATATTTGATATCCTTATACCCATGAAGCACCAAAGACAACCAAGAGTCCTTAGGCTGTATTTTATCAGACTTACAAATTAAGTAATACAAATGGAAGGGAAATGCAAAACACTAATCATGATAAAATGCTGTAAGTTAATTTTACCTAATATGCTATGGTGAGCTACAAACACATTTATAACAAATTATCCTAACTACGTGTTAAAAACAATTAAGAAAAACACATATTACACAACAGAACAGTCACAGACATGCCAAACTTTCTCATCTATTCTTTTTTGTCAACATACAAATTTTAAAAAAAGGAACAATATAATTAAATGACATAGCACTAATGCTACTTATCAGGAATAAAAATCAGACACCAAGATATAAGCATCTATTGCCTTTTATCTTACCTTTCAACATGAGAACAATTCCTTTGTGTATTTAAACATTGAAATAAAATACATTATATGAAGGGCAAAGGAAAGGATGTCTTTTAGTAGCTTAAATCAGGGAGCCTTAATGTTTTTAAATGCTTTTATCACCTATTTTCCCCACTATTACCTACCTCAAAATGAACAGATGGCATCTCCATTTTCACATACATAAGCAAAATTTCAGACACATTATTTAATTCCAAATGTTCTAATCTCTAAGTCATAAACCTCCATATATCTATGAAAGCAAAATTTAAACAGTCCTAAAATGTGCAGTACGTTACTTTTTTGTAAGCAAAAATTAGAAATTTTTTTTGGAAGTTTCTCTAAATTTCTGCATCTTACTATGGTTACTACATATTTATGACCCTTTGATAATCAGATTTCCTAATAAAGAACTATTATATTTTTGATACAATGCTTATTAATTTCACAATAACAATTTAGAGAGCTTGATTTCATTTATTACAAAAAAGATTTCTGTTTTTACTTTTCAAAAACAAAAGCAATTCCACCCACTCAGCTCTATCCATTTACAGGCATTCCTATTTATACTAAAAAAAGGAAAGACCTTAAGACCTTTAGAAGACCTAGACTAATGGCCAACAATAAACTTAGCTTTTAGGTCGTACTCTAGTTTTTAATTATATGATCAGATTCATAAAATCTCTATGTCCTAATGTCAAACCATTGATGAACTAAAGAAATCATGACAATGCCTCAAATTCCAAAATCTCAGTAAAAATCGTATGTAAACCTTTTAAAAAATATATGAAAAAAAATTTAAAAGTTAAAAAGTATTATACAGATTAATTTTTCAATTTTTTGTGTTCATAAGACAATAAGTAGGTTAGTAAATTTATGTCTACCTTCCTAATAACATGAGAAGTACATACAAGAAGTAAAACGTAATGCGTA